GACCGAAGGAACAAATTGTTTCCTGCAAAAGCCCCCTCCCCATTCTCTCCTCTTTTGTTTCCTATGGGAGGAGCCAATCACCTCCAAGGTGTGGCTTTACTCCCAAGTCAGCCCTGCTTCCTTAGTTGTTCTTGTCTTCTGGCAGCTCTGCGCATGCGCACACTGGGAACAGGCTCCAGCTGTTCTTCTGCCTCACTGCTGCCTAGCTTCCTCTCTGCCTCCGATGCAGAGCCCACATCTGAGCTTTCCTCAGCCCCCAGGACTGGCCCATGCTCCTCCCCAACCTCCTCCCTGTCCGACTCTGCTGCCAGCTCTGCTGGCTGCCGGCCGGCCACAGCACATAACAACTGCAGTGATTCGCTTAACAACTGGGGCATAAAATGGGGCGAGACTCACTTAACAAATGTCTGACTTTAGCAGAGAAAATTCTGGGCTCAATGGTGAGTAGAGAACTGCCTCTATTTTTGATCTAATGCTTTGGATGAAAGCTGACTTCATGTTTATGCATTTTGAAGTATATATGCACTGTTATCAAGTTATGCTCAATGTGTTTTTTTTTAAAAGGTAGAGTGACACTTTTCTTATCTCTCTCCCTTCAAGGTATTTTTTGCATCAGTTCAGTCTGGCGGCAGCAGCCAAATTTACTTTATGACACTGGGCCAAAACATCCTGTTCAACTGGTAAATTACTTTGGAGTGAAGTGAATATTTGACTTTCCCAGTTTCTATGAGCCATCTAAAGCCCTGAGTTCATTTCAGAAGTTGCCCCCCTCGTTACTGCAACAAAAAGGAAAAGAAAACCCCCATGAGCCTCACAGAATATCCTTCAATTGCAGACACTACAACTCTTGCAACTGTATTGTTTAAAATTTGCCATCCTGGAGCACCCGCTTTAAAAAAAAAAAAAACCAAAACAAAGCTTTTTTGCAAAGCAGAATTGCCCCATGGAAGCCAGGCGTCTTACAAAGTATGCACAGAGCTGTTGTGGGGGGTTATAATTTTTTTTGCACGAAGATTATAATGTTCTTTTGTTCGACGCTCAGGGGGAAGGGCGTTTTGGTTGAAACCGGGCACCCAGCTATGGCATATTCCGTGCGAGGTGGAGGCAAAAACTGTTGGATGGGCTAAATTAGGTTGGTAGGGCTTCCCTGTTTTTTCAAAATCTTCCTTTCTCAGGTAGATCTGCCTTTCCCCCCAAACACCTGAGTAACATCTTTGTTTGCCGAGAGATTTCAGAGCCCCTGTGAAGCGTTCGTTCATTGCAGAATGAATTTCTCTACAGGGAGACATTCCCAGAGGAAGTCGGTGTTCTCAGCAATTTGAGGCTAGAAGCATCCTTGGGGACACCCTGGTTTCTAGCGGATTTAGCAATTGTTTGTTCCTAAGAACAGTCTCCTCTTGTGCCTGTGACTCCATCAGATTTCTAAGGATGTTCTAAACCATGAGGGGGGGAAAAGTCCTCAAGAAAATAAGACCAGGCCTAGAATCCTGCATCCAGTTTGGGTCACCACACCATAAAAGATGTTGAGACTCTAGAAAGAGTGCAGAGAGGATGAGGGAATTGGAGGCTAAAACATAACGATGAACGGTTGCAGGAACTGGGCATGGCTGGTCTAGGGAAGAGAAGGACCAGGGGGGATGGGAGAGCATCTTCCAATATTTGAGGGGCTTCCACAGAGAGGAGGAGGGAGTCAAGCTATTCTCCAAAGCACCTGAAGGCCAGACAAGGAATAATGGATGGAAACTGACCAAGGAGAGATTCAACCTGGAAATGAGGATAAATTTTTTGACGGTGAGAGCAATCAACCCATGGAACAGAAGTTCCCTTCGGAAGTTGTGGGAGCTTCATCACTGGAGGCTTTCAAGAAGAGATTGGACTGCCATCGGTCAGAAATGGTGTAGGGTCTCCTGCCTGGGCGGGGGGTTGGACTAGATGATCTACAAGGTCCCTTCCAACTCTTATTAATCTAACTAAGTTCCCGCTCATCTTTACTCACTCGAGTGGTCCTTAATATTTGAAAGAGACTGTTTCCCATCCATCTAGGATTCAGGCCTTTCCAATTTTTGATTCCTAGATCTCAACGGAGAACTTCCTTTTAAGCATGGTGTTTCTAATGCAGTGATAAGACACAACCATCCTTCTCGAAATGAGGTCCGAAGGCCACTGCGGACCTCTAAGTGGAATGACCACCATGTCCGTTAACCTCACTAGGACTTACCTGCAGCGAGAGCCTTTCTTGAAGTTAAGTTACCTTTTTTTAAAAAGGCAGGTATTTTATATCAGTAACATCCAATGGAGAGGAGCCATCTCCAAATTTCACACTGTGTTTTCCCACCATCGTATTATATTCTCAGGGTTTGCAATTCGGGTTGAACTATTTCTCAGGTTTGCAAGAGTTCGCTAAAGTTTCTACAACCCGTTGGGAAAATGCCAGGCACATTTTTTTAAGGGGAGGAACGCTTTCTGCCAAATTATTTTTATCCAAGGGGGAAGAAGTGTCTTCTACCTGAGGACAATGTGGGGTATGTGAAGGATTTAAACAGGCCCTGGATTAAATTCCAGCATGAAATTGCCACCAGTATTATTATTAATTGGGGAAAGCCTCTGTTTGGGCTTCCAAGAGTTGTGGGGTTCAGTTCCCTAGATTTCCAATTAAACACATATCCGAGAACTGGGCTGGGAATCTTGTCTCTCTTCAAGTCTCTGGAGAAACAATCATTGTTCAATGGAATTCCACTGCTAGAGGAAGAACCAATTGTTATATTCCTACTAGCCGATAACCCGGCATTGTCTGGATATTTATTTATAGGGAGGACCAAACGTAATTTCTAATGTTGATTTTCCCCCTTACCAGAGGGAGCCCCCTCGTGGAGTACTGTGAAGCCGTTACCATGGGAACTCCACTGCGCTGTACAGTAGAATCTATTTTACAGTAGTACAGTAGAAGCCATTTCAAGGCACAGCAGGCTGTATTGTAACAGAACACCACCACCCCCGAGGGGTGTTAGGGGTATCTTACCCCCACGGTATTTTTCTCCAGAGAGTAAGTCTAGAGAGAGGGAGAGAGAGAGAGACAGAGACAGAGAGACAGAGACATAATATTTTGGAAAAGAATTGTTGGAAGACTTCTCTTAACTTTGCTTAGCTTTCATGAAGGCAGCCAGTAGCTCCCGACAATCTTTTAAGGGTGAAAATAACTTGTTTTTATTTTATTTTATGGCGTGTACATCTTAAAGTGATAACCTTTGATTCATTCCAAGACCCACGGTCATATTCTGCAGGCTGGTGTTGTGCAATTTATTGTCTTTCTTTCTTCGGCGTCACCCCCTCGCCCTGCTCACTCATGTCCTGATTCGAGTATTTTTCTGAGTTGATCAGAACATAAAATACAGAAATGCAAAGGAACAATGAAAATAACGGGGGGAAAGAGGAGGAAAGGGGGAAGGGGGAAAAGCGTAGGGTAAAGGAGAGAAGAGAAAGCATTGGCTTCTTTTGGCGCAGTAGAACAAGGTAAATAACACGCAATCTCAACTTTTCAGTTTTCATAATCATATACGGTATATTGGCCATTTCTATAACGACCAACCCATCCTCCTTTCCCCTTAACTGTCGGGATTTGAAATTGGTGCATGATTAGGAAACTTGCATTGTGCCCTAATGAAACAACTGGTGTGCTGTGTGGAAAGAACATTGGGTTGGCATTGTTTACAAATGGCTTTTGTGTAACACAGTTGTGATAGGTAGTTACGAAACGGATGTGTTGTTAGCAGGGGTAAAATAGTTTCTTCTGATTCTGGCCATCAGTAGAGTTCCTTTGGAAGGGATATAGCATTGGTTTCTGGAGCTGATTGTTGCATTTCAGTTTAAAAATTGAAAGCAGACCCAAAAAATAATACTTTTATTAAAAAGCGAAAACCCTGGGGAAAAAGAGGGGAGAAAAGTAGGAATTCTTGTACTGTGTTCCATGCTTTTTCCCAAGCGTGAAAACACATTCCTGAGTCAGAGATAATAAGATTGAAACAGAATAGGTGGAAACAGCTGCAATCTATCGCTTCAAAATTATTTGGCATCTGTGTCTCCATGCTTAACATTCTCCTCGCGTTTCTTTACTTGATAAAAAAAAAAAAAAACTTTTAGAGTTGCTTGTTTTCCCAATGCTCCGATATTGGGAGGGCCTGAAAACTGAACTGCTGCACTATATATATATATTGCCTCTGGAGGCTTTGTCAGAGTAATTGGGTGGAGAAAAATGTTTCAGTCACTGTTTTTTATAACTTTGGAGGTAATATCAGAACGCAATGTATATAGGCCTCTTCTCCAATTTGATGCTTTCCAGTTCCCTGATATATATATCTTTCAGCCCTATATATATATTTGCCTTAGGTGTCTGGACAAAAACCTAGAGTAAACTTTCAGAGGAGGATCAAATGAAGAAAGTCACTAACTGACAGACAGACAGACAGACTGACTGACGGAGCAATTGCAATAGTAGCTGGGCTGTTACCCCTTGGTGGAGAGCAAAGAAATCAGTATGCTCTGGCTGGGGATTTCTGGGAGTTGAGGTCCACCCATCTCAAAGTGTTCAAGGTTGACCAACCCTGCCATAGACCAATGAGGCACATTTCAATGCTCAACCCGACTAGCCAGCTTATAATAAATAAATAAATAACCCTCAGGGATGCAATTTCTTATTTTCAAACCTGCTTATTTATGAAGCCAGCAGAATTGCAGCTCCATTTAGCACAACTTACGTATTTCCCTCTCTGTTCATGCTCCGTTGCACTCTCTATCCAATCCGATGCCTTCCAGATGTCGTAGGGCAGTGGTTCCCTGCTAGCTACCCGGACAGGCTGGGGAAAACTAGTCTGCTTGCAAGAAGCAGAATAAGCCCCAGGAAACTTCTAGGCCTGGAAGCCCCCTGACGCGTCCTGCATGCAAATCGACCATAATCCCATTTTGTGCGTTTAGGGGGACATGAGATTTAACTGTGAATTGCAACTCCGAAACTTATCACACCCCAAATGATTTTTTCCCTTCCTCCTACTTTGGTAAATCATTCCTTGAGGCTCCTTCTGGGGCACCATTTGTGCTAATGAAGCGAAGCCCTTTCTTACTCCTAGTAAATAATCAGTGTGGCAGGTAAGGTGGGAGTTTTGATTCCCGCCAAGTGGGCAGGAAGGGAAGAGGGGTCAATTTCACTGGATCCATTTAAAACAGAGCGAGAAGGAATTCGGTCTGTGCGCATCTGCCGGGGACACACAGAGGGTTCCCTCCAACAGATGCTGTCGGTATTCTGGCCGCCTGCCTCTCAACCTCCTCGGCTTGGAACAAGCAGGAGGACCGGTCTCTGAGCAAATGAACATAGGGGTGCAAGATGCAACTTGTTATTTTCCCACTAGTTGAAAATAAATCTAGCAGGTGGGATTAAATCCAGCATGTTTTCCTGCAAAAAGAGTGCAGTCACATAATTTCATCTTTAAAAACAATAAACCCATCCTCCTAGATTTTCCGATAGTACAGGAATGAAAAGAAATGAGGATATTTTTTTTTAAATGAATTTTAGGTTTTCATGGGAAAAGAGGAAATAATTTTAAATGCAGAGTCATCCTTCTCTCCCTACCCACTTTTCTCCCTCTCTCTCTCTCTCTTTTCTCTCTTTCCTCCCTCTTTCTCTTTCTTTCTTTTCCCTCTCTTTCTCTTTCCCTCTCTTTCTCTCCACTCTCGCTTTCTCTCCCTCTCCCCCCCTCTTTCCCTCTTTCTCTTTTCTCTCTCTCTGATGAAAATAGTGTCTTTTGCTTGTTGAATCCAAGTCTGAAATTAACAAGAAGTTCTGTTTTGCTTCAGTTTAATTACAAAATGCAGCACTGTGAAAAACAATCAAGATCAATATTTGATAGCCCCCCCCCCCAACAAAAAAACACCAAGTGTTCCAAGAAATAATCAAGCAGATGAAACGCCACTGAGAGTATAAAGGAAAGTTAGTAGATAAAAGCAAGAGAATGTTAGCAGAAAGCCAAATGAAGGAAAAAAGGACTATTGCAATTCTAGATAGGGGTGGAAAGTCCGTGGGATGTTTATTGAAAAGGCTGGTATTGAAGGACTCGTAGTAATGTTTTAGATTTGTGCAGAGACTTCCTGGAGAGTGAAAAGATTTCAAAGCGATTGGTAACACTTAAACAAACATCTAGACTTTCGAGACTTCAGCGTATTCATTCCTAACATTTTGTTTATTATTTTAAGGGGATAAATTGCATTAAGCAATGATGTTATTTTGTATGAGGCTGTGGAGAGACAAAAATGTCAGTAAATGTACTGCAACATTGATGGCCCAATTCCCAAGGATTCCTGAAATTTCTTCAGTGTGTCAAAAGTACAGGTAGTCCTCAACTTACAACAGTTCGTTTAGCGACTGTTCCAAATTACAACAGCATTGGGGAAAAAAGTGACCCATGATCGTTTTTCACACTTATGACCACTGTAGCAACCCCCCTGGTCACGTGATCAAAATTCTGCTACTTGGCCACTGACTCGTATTTATGACGGTCGCAGAAATTCTGGGCTCACTTGTGGTTGCAAGTCGGGGACTACCAGTGATAAGGCATTAAAAGTAGGGTTGCATTTAGTCTGCGAGTGGCTTTAGCCCAAACTTGTGGGAGGTTGGAACGTTTTTATGCTCTATGCACTATATATAAAATGAGATATTTTTTGTTTGTGTGTGTGTGCTATAACTTCGAAATGTCAAAATTGTACATTTTAAAATAGAAAACAATAAAAATAAAGCAATATTCTGGGGGGGGAAATGGAAGCGTCTCTTTTCAAACATGGTTATGCTGGTTTTTCCTTTTTCTTTTATAAAACGGCAGGAAAAACTGAGCTGCACCCTTCCTTCGCTTCCTTTTTCTCTTTCGTATCAAGTCTCGGCATTTTTGGAAGCCATAAATTGTGTGGACCAACTAGAATAAATAATATATTGAGTTTGTCCTTGAAAGTTAACTCCCTGTGTATCTACAAAAGTCTTGCGATGTTGTGAAAGAAAGCGCCTTGCTTTCAGGGAAATTACCAAAATTACCTGCCCTCCCATACACACAAACACACAAACACACACACACACTCAAACAAAGGTAGGTCCTCGACTTACAACAGTTCATTTAGTGTCTGTTCAAAGTTACAACAGCACTGAAAAAAACTGACTGACAGTTTTTCATACTTATGACTTTTGGATCCCCATAATCATGTGATCAAAATTCAGGCGCTTGGGCCACTGCTTCGTACTTATGACGGTTGCAGTGTCCCAAGGTCAGGTCCTCCACTTTTGCGACCTTTTGATGAGCGAAGTCAAGGCGGAAGCCCGATTCACTGACATATCAACTGCAGTGATTCACTTAACGAAAATGGCAAGACAGATCATAAGACGAGGCAAAACTCAGCAAATGTCTCACTTAACAACAGAAATGTGTGGTTGTAAGTCAGGAACTACCTGTACACAGTTTGGAAGCGAGGAACATATTAAAAGTGGGCACGATTACAACTTAACATTTCTTTTTTAAAAAGCACCACATTATACCGCACTCGGTCCCTCTGCCTGCCATGTGAGATAAGAACAGCTTATGTGTTATCCTGTAAGCTGCGTGGTTTTAACAAAGAGGCCAAGCAGGCTGTTTAGAAGTATTCCTTTATCTTCTGCGGCTCTAAGATGAAACTTGGCATTTTAATTTGATATCCTTGTTTGTTGGGATGACACTTGGATCTGCTTTTTCAATGAGAAAAATTGCTCTGCACTGAAATTGCTTCTCCGAGAAATATAGCGCAATTCCGTTTACAAGTTCAGACGCTTTCTTTCAGAACTGTATTTAAGTTAAATGAAACATGAGCAAAAGCCCACCATCTCTATGAAAAGGCTGTTTTCTCTGTGGATTCGCTGAACTCAGCCATAAATCAAAGTTCATCCTGACCCAGGTGATATACGTATATATCTTTGGATGTCTTATTTGGTTAAAATGCTAACTGTATATAGCACCGCTTATCAAAACCACTACGGTGTGCTTTCTAAGGGAATATCACAAAATGATTTTTCAGCAATTATTTAGAGCTTCTTGTTATTTTGGAAACCGTGTTTTTAAAAAAGCCACAACAGGGGAAAAAAAAAAACCCACCACTGGTACTAACAAACCGTATTATGATTGAAAACAGAAGCTGTTTTTCTTCATTAGCTAAAAGTTATTCTATTTTATATAGTGGGCGTGCCTACATTGGATGTTCGAATATAAACAGCATATTTATAAGGTGAGAATATCTTTACTCTCCATTTGAACACTCAATATGGTGAAAATGAATAGGATTTGAGTGTAGGAAGAGAATAGATTCCTTTCGCTTGTTTCACTGGGCGTGGAACTGAGGTGGGGGCCAGGGGTTGGACTCACTCACCTTCCCCACCGTTTCGCAAGTGTGAGCCTGCTCCCTCGCTTCGCTCACACGTGCCGCGTCTGCGCATGCCTTCTCCACTTGCACAGTGCCTGCACATTACATCGGGGTGAGTGGGCGGAGCCTCCCGCCGCTACTGGTTCGCCTGAACTGGAGAGAACCTCTGGTGGCGGCTTTATATTATTAAATAGGACAGGAAGAAAACGATAGAAAAAGGAAAGAATAACACCCCCCCAAAAATATATATATATATATATAGAGGGATTCTTCTTAGTGCATTTTTAATGAATACAAGCATTTTTTCATTACAGAGGCATTTTGGCCTCATGGTTAAGGCACCAGGCTAGAAACAGGGAGATGGTGAATTCTAGTTCTAGCTTTAGACACGAAAGGCGGGGAAGTGACCTTGGGCCAGTGGGGCCATTTCCATTGTCCAGCCATCCATGTTTATATAATAGGGGTATAATTAAAAAAATGACATCTGAAAAGATTAAACTTGATCTGAGGCAATGCCTGTAATGATGGTTTCTTTCCGGAACAATTTTGGAATGGATGCTTCAATAAATGCCTGAAATTATTCCCTCAAAATGAGCGACTTGAATTGTGAGCTGAAACGGGGTTCAGAAATCTCTTCCACCGGTTAAACGTTGGTTTGGGTTCTGAGGCTGGAGAGGCAGTTGTCTGAAATGGTCTGGGGTCTCCTGCTCGAGGCCTCCAGGGTCCCTTTCAGCTCTTCTGAACTGAATATTTCAGAATAGTTATGTAGTTAATTAATCAATCATTTGGTTAGAAATAAAATAAAAACACTTTAATCATGAGCAGGTGACTTTTTTTCTCTAAAAGTTTCCCAGTTTCCCATCCAGGATAATAATCAAGTTTGTGAAGTAAACAAGGGAAGTAAATCCATGTATTTGGAAGGATTTGGTGTTTCTGGATTGGGGAAAAAAACACTGGAAAAGTACTAGTACCTTGTATAGGGTACTTGCATTTTTTATATACATATTTCATTTTATACTGGGTTTTAAAGGAACCGCAGGGATTTCATAAACAGCAGAAAATCAGAATCCGGAATCTTTTCCAACTCTCTCCTTTCATGAAAAGGGAGTTTTTTGTGCGTGAATTGAGCGAGTTGGAGACGATTCCACTCGATTCCTGCTGATTCTTGGCCGCTGCAGGCCGACTCCTAAAACCCAGATAATGCATCTTAATAACCGCATCTTTTAAAGTCCGTTTCAAAAGCTGGCGCTTGAACAGAACTTTCTCTCCGTTTTTAAGCAAATAGAAATAAGGGTTCATTTCATATCTTGCCAATTCTTCAAAGCACTCCCCCCTCCCCACTACATTTAGGTCCCCTTCCAAGTCCTTTATCACTCAGCCCAATCCAGAACTTAATGGCCCTTTTAAACCGACAATCTTGGGGATTTGTCTAAAAATAAACCCCGTTGCAAAGCTCCGGGGGGAAATCATCCCATCCACCATCGACCAAATCAGAGGACAAACTTCTGCAAAGGAGGATTTTTCCCTCCTTCTTTGGCCCCGCCCTCCTTCGCGCACATTGGTCCCTTTCTCCGGGCGCCCCCGCCCCTTTCTCCCCCAAGGCCTCCCCGCAACGTTCGACCCAACAATCCCGCCTCCCGCGCGTTGATTGGCCGCCTCATCCCGCTCTTTCTCCGAGAAGCCCTGCCCTCCTGCCCATCTTCTCGCGCTCCTATTGGCCGGTTCAAAGCGAGCGGCCGTTGCGGCGGGCCTTCGCCCCGCCCTTTAGCAATGGCGGCAGCGCGCGGAGGAGTTGAGCGCGGCCTCCTCTGATAACGTTGCTTTCGGTTTCTCGAGGCGTCCTTTTGCCCCACTCAGCGCGGGAAAGGCTCCCGGGGCGGACGAAGGCTTGGGAGAGGGGGAAAGCCCGGGAAGGCAGGCTTTAGGCTCACCGCGTGGTGACTGGGAGGAGAAGGGCCTGGCCAGGAAGGAAATGGAGAAGGGCGCTGCTCGCCAGAAGGAAGGCCCGAGGGCGAGAGACTCCAACGCGGGCCCCTCCAGAGGCCCAGAGGGCCCTCGGGAAAGACCCGGGAGCCACGTGGCCGAAGAGGGCACCGTGTCAGGCGCCATGGGCCCAGGGGCGGCTCCAGGCCCCGCAAGTGGTGCCCCCAGCCCCCATGCAGAGCCCTGGCTCCAGAGGACGGTGGCCCTAGTCCTCAAAGCCTCCAGCCCCAGGGTCTCCCTGCCAGAAGCTACCCCGGTGACGGTGCTGCTCCTGCAGAGATACCTGGCCGAGGGGCCGCCACCCCCGCCCAACGCCCCCTGCCAGAACTACTACTACGATGTGACTGTGACGGATGGCACCTGCCAGGAGAAGTGCTTCCTGGCCCCCCAGCTGAACGGCCTGGTCCAGCGAAACCGGCTGGCTGCCGGCGGGCAGATTAAGATCACCCAGTGTTCCCTCGTGTACAATGAAAGGAGCCTCGGCCCGGGCTTTGTGTGCATTGAAGAGCTAGAGATCCTAGAAGAGGCTTCGGCCTTGGCCAGGCCTGCCTCCCAGCTCAGGATCTGCCACGTGAAGACCCTCCTGCCCCTGAAAGGGAGCAGGAAGCATTACCTTCCTCTGTGGAACAATGACGATCCCTTTGGGGAGACGTGGGTATCCAATGTGCCCTTGAGGGAGGTCGGCCTGGAGGGTAAGTGGAGGAGGGCCGGGCCCAGAGAAAAGGCTGTGGGGGAAAGGGCAGGGATGATGGCACTGGAAGCCTGGGGAGCCCTTGACATTGGAAACGTGAGGAGTCCTTGAAGACAGATGACATTGGAAGTGGGGGCTGTCCTTGGATGCTCCTTAACTGTTCTTAGACTCAGGAAACGTTGGGTTTATTATCTAGTTTGCAGGTTTGGGCAGAATGGCAAGCCATTGTTTGCCCTCCAGGAAGAAGACTCGAGATGCGTAGCAGCACAACAGCTACTGGCCAAAATCAGGAAGGAATCGCATATGGCCGTATATGTCTTTTAAGTTGGCCTTGAGTCAGGGCAACTGCTTGGACATCTCGCTAAGAGCTGCAAGGAGGCCTTGAAGTCAAGATGAGCAAAGATTCTCAAAAACGTTTTGTCCTTGGTGCCTTCCTGGAGCTGAGAGAGCCCCCCCCCCCCCCCCAATCCAAAGACACCAAGCTGGCTTTGGGTTTAGTCGGAATTGCGATTCAGGGTCTTCCAACCTAGTACATTAACCATTACATCAACCTGGCTCTCACTTAAAGAACCATAGTCTCTGTTTATTAGAATTACATTCTGCCTTGCTTTAGCTTTCCCTCCAGTTCCCTCCCACAATAGAGACCCTGTTGGCTTGAGAGATAATTCTGTTTTTATGGCTTATGCCGAAATGGCTTAGGCTCCTTGCTCTCCCGTGTCCTAAGTACATAAATCTGAAGTAGTTTTCTGCTTTTTCATGCAATACTTTTCGATTTGGGACTTTGAATCTAAATCGAACAGCAGTTAGTTGTAGCAATGGCTAACTTATTTATGTGGGGTTTTGAAGTTACTATTTTTAGTAGTATCACATAAAAGCAATGACTTCATTGCAGCGTTGCCAGTTCTGAGCTTATATTTACTCTGTTGTCTCTCCCGTCTCTCTCCCCCCCCCCCCCTAGAATTCAAACCAACATCCATCTCTATTCTGGTGATGACCTGGGAAAGCAAAGTCAGCTTCCCACCGTTGCGTGTCAGAATCATCCATAAGTCTCGGTTACGGTATTTTGGAAAACCACAAACAAAGCTAGATGTGCCATATCAGGTAGGAATGGTTCTGATATAGAGGTGTTTTTTTTTAACTAATACCTAAAATGTATCCTTGTGTTCATGATATGTGAATCCCAGATGGATAAACCTCAGTTATCCATAAAATCATTTTTATGCTGACTTAATGTTTCAATAAACATAGTCAAGGGCTTGTAAAATACAACCAAATACAGTATGATTGTGTATGTGTTTAGATGCACAACCCAAACACTCTCACCATGTCAGCAATGGCTGTTGGAAAATAAAATGATGCCAGAATGATGACACACTTCTCAGCGATGTCATTGTCCAAATGCCGCCTTTATATAAAAGTTGTCCGACGCAAGTACTTAAATTGTGGCGTTTGTGCAATGATGTGATCACCACATGCCTCTAGTACAATAACATGCAATTAAATAACCTATTGGGTTTGTTTAGAAGTGCTTATTTTGCTTAGCCAATGTTGAGAGAAGGGAAGCAGGTATGATTCTTCATCCACTATAACAATTATATGAAATAACATGTCTTCTGTAGACTTCTGAAAATTTCCCTTAAGTATGTTGTTACTTTTGGTACTGCTTATTTTCAGATATTGTGTTCCATTTTGACACTTTGTCTGCTAAACCAGCTTCATCTTGTATAGGCTCATTCCCATGGTATCCACCCTCACGATTCCTATGTCTTGAGAAGAAAAATCTCATCCTTAAACTTAGCCCTTTGAGGGGTCCTTGGTGCTCTCTGAGCTTCCTTGTTTTCATTACCCAAACTAGGTAACATACTTGGTGCTAGTCAAGCAAGAGAGCACCAAGGATCCCTCATTTCAACCCCGAGCTACACATATTCTCTTTTATTGGAGCCCTTTGTTCCTCCCTTTTTCAGTCCCTCTTGTTCCTTCCCAGTTTCAGCTCCTGTGGAATGTTTTGCTTTTAATGATTGGAATTTCACAGCTTAATATTGTATGCCCTTGATTGAAGTAAATCCTGCTGAATTTACATGGGGAAATATAGATAAGAAAGTTGCCTTTAATGTAAAAACTTTCTGAATAAGAGCAGTGACGCTCCTGTTTTTTGTAAAGCATGTTGCATATAATTTTCGATGATAAATTTAGGAGCAAAGTGCACAGAATGAAGAGCATGCTTCAACCTCAAGCCTTTAAAATAGCATTTCAGTAATGTGGGCTTTAACTTTTAAGAGCAAATGTTCTCCTATTTGCAGGCTTATTTTGATGTGGCTGATCAATCTGGCATGGTGTTAATGGTGCTGTGGGGCTCTTTATGCCCTGAATGGTATCACAGTATGAAAATCGGCACAGTGCTGCTGCTTGAAAAATATGCTGTTAAAAAAAGTTTATCTTCTAACATGCAGTCAAGATCTGAAGATTTGCACATGAGGAGATTTAGTTCAATAGGTGAAGTATCTCAAATACATTTTTGGGGGGAGGGGGTATAGCTTTTAAAGAAAATCCATTATTTTGCAGTTGGTCTATCTGACCACTTTTATCTGTCTGATCAACAAAGGTCTGTCTGACCATTCGTTTTGCCTGCATACAATGATGATCTGAGACAAAGAATATATGTTTGTTTGTTACTTCAGGCAGTGAAGAAACCGACTGTCATAACCAATCACTCTCCTGCAGTAATCATTCTCAAATAGCAGGAAGCCATTTCCCTACTTGGCTACACAACGTGGGATCTGTATCTAATCCATCTCTTCTCAGGAGGGCTCTGCCTGCCACAATTAGTTTCCAATTATTTTGACTTTGCTTGCATCTTTTAATTTTCTAAAGTTCTGGTTCTCTTTTGGACACAGAAATTGGCTGAGTGACTTTGATCTGGTCAGTTATTCTCAAGCCTGTCTAAACCAGGAAGCCTTTAAAAGTGTCAATCTACCAAAATGCACCAAATGGTGGATTTCAGCCCATAATCTTCCCTAAAGAAGCCTTCATCCTGCAGTAGATTGGTTTAGGCAGATGATCATTAGATACGCATATATAAGAAAATCTTCTGTAGTCAAGAAAGTGAAAACTTTCGTTGGTCAGAAGGAGCAATAAAGTAAAAACCTGTTAATGAACTTTAACAGTGACATTGATTCTAATGGTCTTGGTGAAATATTAGATTCAAGTTCCATCAGCCTGAGACTTTTCAACTCTATTTCTCAATCGGTCCATGGAAGCAGATTTTATTTGTTTTGTGTTCTGGAAATGCTGATAGGGTTCAGTTGGTAATAGGCGAGTTAAAAGTAATGTTGGCAGGAGGAAGGTCCAAGTGAAGGATAGGTGAACATGAAGCAGAACATTAACATGAAAAGCAAGGCCTCCTGCGGCCTAAATAGCTAATTATCTGCCATATTTAGCAGGCTCTCTTTTGGTTGCTTGTGTTAGAATATTAAACAAAGAATTTGAAGTACATGGTAAAAGAATAGCATGGCCAATTCTAATAGATTGCTTAAATTGCACTAATTAGCTCATTACGCTATGAACGATTGATTATTTTTAATGTCTTGATGCATTAATTTAAGAATATGGAAGGGGGAGTTTATACAAATATAAATGCTGGCTTTCCAAGGCAACCATCATCGTTCCTTTGAGATTATTCTAACCAAATTCTCCTGTTGCTTATGAATATTGATAACCATTGTTCAGTGTAAAACAGTTTGCTAAGTCGTGCTTTCTTTCCCCAGCTGGTAGAAAATAAAGAAAGAAAAATTGTGAAGAGCTATAGTTTTCTTGAAAAGAATTCCTATCTAGCGGTTTATGTGTTTCTCCTATATATCTAAGTGCTCAGGCTGATTTTTAGTGCTCCAATATCAATGTTCTTTTCTGTAGCACATTTCTTGTAATTTATCTGTGATTTAAGTGGCCTTGGAGAGGCCAGTTTTGTAAAAGGCGAGATGAACTGGTTTTCTTAGATTTAATTCCCAAGAAATACAAATGCAATATCTGTCTGCAGTAGTTTAAAACAGCTGCTGCTTTGGGGGGAATTTCTGGTCCTTTGAAGCCCTTCAGTTTTCTTTAACATGTTTATGCAACTTGCCACATGCTGTCCCCAAAGTTTTTAAAATTGGATCAAACCAACTTTTATAAAAATGTATGTTTAAATGACTAGAACAAAACTAATGTAGCTAGTAATTCAGTCAAACATAATTGTCATCATCTGGTTAATTCTTTTTTAGAAATAGCTTTGAACGTTCGAGACCCTCCAGCTAAAATTAACATCATTCCAGAACATAAAATTAAACCAGAATGGAAGTTACCCGAAGTTGAATATCATTTTGTAACAAGGTTATTACTACTACTATTATTATGTCTTTTTTCATGAATTATTTTTCCAGACTAGAATATTAGTGTTAAAAAATTTGAGAGGGAGACAAAAAAAAAATGAAATTCTGACATTTATAAATGCTATATGATAATAGATATTAATTCTGTATGTACTATCAACAGTGTTAAGAGAGTACAACAAAGCCAGATTATTATTAGCTGCATTTGTGAATGTTACTGCCACAAGCCTGCTGCCCATATGTGACATGATGGCTTTCTCGGTTTAGAAGAAGCCGGGGTAAAATTCTGTAAAGAAGCAATAGATTCTCTGCACATTTATTCCCAAGGAATAGAGCTATTGCATGGCAAAGAACTTTTTATTTTAATTTTATTTGTATGCCATCTATTTCCCAAAAGCACTGGGCAGTTAAATATCATAAAAATTACCAAAATGCCTCTCAAAAATAGTAAACCCACTCATAAAATAAATCCAAAAGAGTATCAAAATTAAATCCCTTGTTGTCTGAGCCACTTCATTTTGCATCAATCGTAGCCTCTGAAAGCTTTCTAAGACAGTCATCACAGTAATCCAAATAGGAGTGGCTCAGTCACAAGTGACTAAGGAAAAGCCTTCCCAATCCCCAAAAGGAGACAATTGATGTGCGAGATGTAACTACAAAAACTCGCCTGGCTACAGCCGCCATTTCTTTACCATAAAGTTTTCAAATGTCTCACAAATATTTGGGGTTAGGTAGTATGGGAGAATCAGTGACGTGCGGTGAGGTTTATGGCTGGTGAGGCACTGACACAGTGGTGGGTTTCAAATTTTTTTTGACTTGTGGACTTCAACTCCCAGAATTCCACAGCCAGGCATGCTCAGTTCCTTTGCGAAAGTTTCCTTCATTCTTTTTTTCTTCCTTCCCCTCCCCCCTCTCTCAAACAGACACACGCACACCGAGAAGTTGGATTGGACTATCTCTCCTACCCCCTTCCCTCCCTCACTCACTCTCTCTCAAACAAACACAAACACAGAAGTTGGATTGGATATATTTTCCAATGGCTTGAAAGCAGCTCCTCTGCCATACCCCTCCCCCCATTTCCCTGTTGCCTTCCCCAAACACCTCCACCATTGCAAATGCAGCCTGCTGTCTGGGAGGGAAATGCCTGAAACGCAATAAAGCCGACCCACCCACTCACCTCCTGCTTGCAGGCTGGGGTGAGAGAAGAGGCAGAGAAGCCGGAGGGGAGCTGATCCAAGCCTTTGATTGCAGGCGGAGCCACGTTGCCTTTTCAAACTTGTAATCAGTGAAGCTGGGCTTATATAGTTTTATCCAGCTGTGTGTGTGTGTGTTTGAAAAGGCAACGTGGCTCTGTCTGCAATCAAACTATACTTGGGGAGGGATCTACACTTGAGGATGAAGTTTGAATTCCTTCCCCTCCCTCCGACCCACACATACGTTTTCCAGCTGTTTCAGAGAGGATTTCAACTCTGCTCATGCCTACCATCATGAAAAGGAAAAAAAATGTAAAAGGAGGCGGCAGGAAAACGACTTGCCTCACCTACGTCAGGAATTTTTCAGCTTTTAACCCTTGCTTAACTCTGCTCGAGTGATCATAAAACGCCTAAAGTCGGACTAGATGAGGCACGTCGTTCTCTTGCCCCATCCTGTAGAGGGCGTTTTTTTAGAGGCTTTTTTAAATAGTTAAGCAGAGTCATCCACAGTGACTCTGGCAGCAACTAGCTCAGCCTGACCTCAGCTCTTGCCCTTTTCCTTTTACATTTTCTTTTCATGATGACAGTGGTGAGGCTCTGCCACCCCTGTCTGCACGTCCCTGGGGAGAGCCAAATTCTCAGGTGAAGTCATAGACCAGCTTGTTGCATTGTTTGAACACCTCCATTTAATGACTTTCTTGGACAAATAAATTTCTGGAATCTAGTGGATGGCTTTTATCTGTGATATGCTAAGATCTGTTGTGCTTTGAATCCCAGGTCCGAATTGGATAACTTAGCACAAAATCAGTTTTGTGATGTCATTGGACTTGTACAGTATGTTGGACGGGTCGAGCGCAAGAAGAAAAAAGGTATTTTCAAAGATTATATATTTAGCTATAAAAAAACATTTAGAACATTGATTAACATTTATTTTGTCTATATAGGTTATATGGATGACTTTTGGACATATCGCTGGGTACATATTATTGATGGGACCTCAGAGCAGCCTTTTATAATGGAATTGTTTTCCACATCTCAGCCAGATGTGTTTGAGAAAATTTACCCAAGTACGTATTCTATAAATCTCTGTTTAATATAATCGTTCTGTCAAATTTGTTCGGAATTTGAGGAATCAGAGTATTGAGTTACACTCACAGAGCCAAGGTGGCGCAGTGGTTAAATGCAGCACTGCAGGCTACTGCTAGATCAGCAGTTCAGCGGTTCAAATCTCACCGGCTCAGGGTTGACTCAGCCTTCCATCCTTCCGAGGTGGGTAAAATGAGGACCCAGATTGTTGGGGGCGATATGCTGACTCTCTGTAAACCGCTTAGAGAGGGCTGAAAGCCCTATGAAGCGGTATATAAGTCTACTGCTGTTGCTATTGCTATTGCTATTCTTCATCATAGTAGAAAGGATGAACTCTAAAGAATTCTTGGATTTCATTGATTCTAAACTCCACATATTTATCTGATGGAAGAGAATATTTGCAGCCTGGGGTTGAACTGAGGGCCCTTGGTGCTCCCCAAGCTTGGTGGGAGACGTTGCAGACGTTTCATAACCAAACTAAGTAACATCAGTAGAAGACTGCAAGAACTGGTTTAGCAACAGCAAAATGAAGTGACAGCATATACCTCTTGTTTCCTTTTCCCTTCCATATTCCATCTGAGAATAAGATAATGTGAAGTAACTATTGATGCTTATAAGCTTTCCTTGTACGTAGCTTTATCTCACAAGAGAAGGTAAGATTGCGTTGCAGTTAGGAACAATCATCGGGACTTCAGAACACTGTTGTTGATTATAAATTAAGAGGGTGTGTAAATATGAACCTAAAAAGTAATAACCACCACATTGGATCACACCAAAGGCCTCATTAAGTCCAGCTTCTAATAGGCATCTGCATGCTTTTGGTAACTTTACAGTTTGAGCATGAATGTAATGATCACATGAGTCCCCCATCTCTTCCACATTGTTTCTCCAGGAAGTGTTCTCCATTTGGTGATAAACAAGCTGTTTCTCATAAGGAGCTGGTGCAATATTAAAAGTTTCAGATTGCAGGTGATACTAGATGAAGCATTCTCCAAAGGATGCTTTGTCTAGTATCTAAGCGATCACTTGTCTCTACATTTCACCCGGCAACATTTTATTTTTCTGTGCACACAGGATGTTTTTCAGTGTCACATGGCATCTCTGCACACAAGATTGTCTTCTGTAGTTTACAGTAACAGAGATACTGCTCTTATCAATCGGCACTGTATAAGCACCAGGCCCAGGGCAGAAAGTGTTCTGAAAAAAATAATTTGCTGCAAAAAAAACCTTAAGAGAGTGAGTTAAGTTTACAGATTATAATAATTAGTTGGCTTTTGATTGTTTCTCTTTCAAAACTTACCATTTAAAAACTTTGTATGTTTTTCTATGTATCACAATCAATCAATTTCAGTCATGGATAGGCACCAATCATCTTTCTGTAAAAATTGATTTGGGTCTGGTTATTATACAGTATGTAATGTTATGATTTGCTTTAATTGGGATTTACAAAAATGGTTTTAAGGTTTGATTTTTAACCTTGGATGTAACTGTAAGCTGCCCAGAGTTACCTGATGAGAAGATGGATAGCCAATGAATTTTATAAATAAATAAATAAAATAAATAAAAATGGGGAATTGTATGCTGCTTTGAATCTGCTTTGATTGGAGTAACTTCTAAGCCAAATAAATAAATAAAGAGGTGATATGATGCTTCTCCCTTACTAGTGACCTACTTGGTATGTACCCAGATGAGAGTGGAAAAAAATGTTTCCGAGAATGGCTCCAGTACATCCTATTTAACAACATCTATGAAAACTCAAATGTTTATTACAGGTAAAAAATAACAACCATCTCTTTTGTAAAAACACCTAACTTCATTTCCAGTCTTAATCTATCAAATCACGTCAGTTCTCTTTTTATCTCTGTATTATTTTATCAGTTTCTGTTACCCATGTTTGCAGTATTGTGCTTTTGCAGTCCTGCCCCCTTTTATTCCTTACATGAGAATCTTGCCAGATGACACAGCCCCAAATGGCCTGATTGCTTCCTCTAATTTGGCAGATTTCCACTGATGTTTTCTCAAGAGTGACAGCCTCATGCGTTCTTATTTCATTTTAATGTATGCCAATTAATGTACGTTTAAAGTGACAAGTTTCTACATTTTACATTCTCTAGTCTATTCTCTATTCCCATACTGTTCTGTTCTCTATTCTGTTCTCTAGTCTATTTTCTAATCTAATTACGGTAATTGAATCTGCCTTTTTTTTTTGCTTTGTTTTCTCTAACATAGGATGGCATAAGGACCAGCCATATATAAAAGATCCGAAAGTGCAAAACTTTATCCAGTGGGTGAGAAGGCAAGAGGAAGCTTTTCACGTGGACAAAGTCTTCATTGGGGGATACTATCGTTTCCCGCCACTCCCAAGTACATTTGCAGAATATTGCAAAAATATGAATGGTATGCCATTTTCCTTCTGCAGGACAGTTTGGAGTAGCCGTATTTGGAGACAAAATATTTCTGTGCCTGGTAGAAATATTTATAGGTGCTGAGAGTTTGTCATTAGTTAAGGTTGCAGCAAAGCGTAACGATTCTTCATTCGTTTTCCCCTTTTAAACTTTTGTAAGATCAGTAGTTTAACTGGAGTCCTATTTTAGCTCCACCTCAAAAATATAGCTGGACGGTGTTTGAATTTTAAGTGACACTATATGGTGTCATCTATTGAAGATCAGTGTGCAAATGGAGGAACAGGGAATGCCTCCGCTTTATGGTTCATGACGGAATGATGGTTGTCAACAGGATTGTTTCTTTCCTCATCCACATGGCAGGTCAGTTTGAGACGGTTGGGGGATTAACCCCATGATGCACAAAGTGTCCTTAATGGGATGAGAATGAGAGGAGCACCAGAAACGTACTATAATAGTGGACACATCCCATAACAACTTAATTTTATAAGGATGTCTACCACTTTCGTGCTCTTAAAGGAGGCTTACGGGTTGCACTCGAGACAGACTATAAGCCAGTTTTTCTCAGTCCTTTGCAAAACGGACTTACTCAGATCGGTGCCGTGCCAGTTTCAAAACAATAACCATGTTAGATTCTTTGTCGTCCGAATTTTATCTACCTGTATTTATTTGGTGCTATCTTTCTTAAAAATTGCATTTCAGAAGAATTGGTTTTGATATCCATCAGTAAAATTGAGAAGGAGATTGACAGTTTGCACTACAGGGAACAGAAGCACATTGCTTTTCAAGGGATAATTAGTGCTGTAAGATGTGTCAGCTGCAGCAATACCTCCCAGGATGCAGTGGGAGAATTGGCAATGCAGGTATGGTACTTCAGCATTAATAGCCTAGCACTCAAGATGGTATGAGCATGATTAAAACTGAGACACTTTGCGTTTGAATTTAAAGAACCTGTAGTGATGACTTCTTAACTTATTTTTTCCTCTTATTTTGAATATGTGTAAAATTAGAAAATTTTGGTTTAAGCTTTCGTGATACCATGAACTTTTTAAAAAAGATCTTGATATATGTCGTGATATATGGTTTCACTAAAGCAGTGGAAATAAATTGGAAGGGTATTTCAGACAGAACTTTATATCCCGTGCTGAGTTTTTTTCCTGCTGAATTGATCCTGCTGTTTGTGGTAATGAAACTGAATCTAGCTTTTAAAAAAATATGGAAAGTACTAACTGGTGGACAGTGTGTAAATTTGATTTAAAATTATTTCTGCAGATCGAGAAAATGCCACCAACCTCTTTGTCGCAACACCAGCAAGCAAGAGAATCAACTTCTAAAGCGAGGTCACCATCTCTGGCGCAACAAACTATAGTGACCAGGAGTTTTGCAAAGAGACAGATTTCAGCTGCAGAGTAAGGAAATGTTTGCTTTTGAAGTGGAACAGAACCTCTGGTTTCTCTGGCAATTGTGTATTTTACGTTATAGTCCAGTGGTGGCAAATCTTTTGGCCTTGGTGTGTCAATAGCAATAGTAATAAGACTTATATACCGCTTCATAGGGCTTTCAGCCCTCTCTAAGCGGTTTACAG